TAGTTTTGATTTGCATTTCTCTCATAATTAGTGATGTTGAGCATCTTTTCATGTGCTTGTTGGCCATCTTTGGAGAAATGTCTATTTAGGTCTTCCATCCATTTTTTCACTGGGTTGTGTTTTTTTGATATTGATCTGCATGAGTCGCTTATATATTTTACAAATTTATTTATGTTTATATATTTTGGAAATTAATCCCTTGTCAGTTGCTTCGTTTGCAAATATTTTCTCCCATTCTGAGGGTTGTCAGAGTCCAGAGTCTTCAGTGTTTCCTCAGTATCCAACTTGGGCAACTGTACAAATAGTGGTGGTATAAATGATGTAGAGAGATGAATAGTGGAAGTAAGTATTGAAGGTAAAATTAATCGTTCAGTAATATCACATAATTAATTTTAAGTGTCCATGTTATATTTGGGCAGAGTTTTTCACTTTGCAATTAGTTAGGTTTGTAAGAGACTCAGGAGAGAGATATGTACGTTTTAGGTCAAGATCTGTGATATATATGGTGGCTGGAATCACAAGAGTAGATGAGACCATCTATCAAGGGCAGAAGAGAGCTTCTGAGAAATACACATCTCTTGGGAGAGGGCAAAGTGAGAGTGCCCAGTGAAAGAGATAAGGATGTCCAGAGGCAGGAGGAAGAAGTAGCAAATTAAGATGCTACTGTTGTTAAGGTGAAAGATTTTTCTGAGATGACAAACTTGATCAACAAAATCAAATATTGCTGAAAGGTGATATAATGACCAAACAATATTCATTCAATTTAATCACAAATTAAATGTCGGTGAATGCAATTCCAGTGCAGATAAGTAAGAAGAAAATAGCAAAATTGTGTGAGTCATGAGGTACATAAAGATAAGAAAATACAGACAGTGAGAATAAATACAAATTTTTGATAAACTGTACTGTGAAATTAGGAGGAGAGGAAAGGTAGCTAGAGAATTACTTGGCATCAAGCAAGAGTAATTTTTAATGGGAAGGGGGCAGCTTTCTAATGGGAGGGGGCCAAAATAAAATTGCTAAAGAGGAAAACCTTAACAATACCAATGAGATGGGAAAATGAATGGAAGTTACTGAGGAAGTGAGAATAGGTGAACTAGGTAGAAAAGCTATCCTTGTATGTAAAGAGAAAAAGTTATTTAGGGGTGTTTTTGCTTTATAGTCTGTGTTTTCTCTGTGAAGTAAAAGTTTGATGGGAGGTGATGTCACCTCGAGATAGTGCTCATCAAATATCCTATGTGCTTATCTACATTTTTCATCCTCCTTTGTAGTTAGACTCTTTTCCTTTGATTAGTTGTGGCCAGTGGCAAAGAAGCAGAATAAAGTGTATCACTTCTGAGCTGAGGTCATTAGGAGCCAATGTCCCTCTGGTCTGGTCCTCTGCTATTGTGACATCGGAGGTCACATAGTCCAGATGATGTGGCTGCAAGATGGATCAGGACCATGTGATCTGTAAGGGCTTTACTTAGTAGAGAAATAACTTACTAGTATTTTCCACTGAGATTCCTGTGTTAAATAGATCTCCCTGTGAGAGCTCAGAGAGCATAGCGAAGACTGAAATGACAAAGACAGAGGGAGAGATGTTGGTAACATATGGAAGGTGCCTGGCAGATAATATATTTAATGGTAAACAAAGCTGCTGGAGTAACAGAGAGAGTATATAAGAGATGAGAAGAAAACCAACTGTATGTAGTATCTAGCGCTAAGGAGTGAGGAGAGAAACAACTGAAAAAAAAAAATAAAAAGAATGATCAGAAAGAAGCTAGGTGGTATGTCAACAGAAATCATAAGATTGCTATAAAACATAAAGGAAGGTAGTTTTAAAAGAAGCACCATTTAAAGGAGTCAGTTGTTTCCCAAAGGGAAAATCCTATAGGAACTGAAAATAAACCATGTGATTTGATGACTAAACTTTTATGAAAAAAATGGAACCATTTCAGGAAAGTCATGGGAGAAGACGTTGTGTTACAGTGGGGAGAGTAATCAATACATTGTGAGGAAAGGTGCCTTTATTTCCAAGAAATGCCAGTTAAGAAGTGAAGAGAGCATTTAAAGGGAAGGGATAATGTAAGAAAATTTTTTTAAAAATTAATTAAGGAAACTTGAATAATTCCTAGACAAAGAGGAAGGTATTAGTGAGAGATGAAAATCAGAGAAAGCTATCTTAAGATGTTGTTATGGACTGAATTGTGTCCCCACAAAAAATATATGTTGAAGCCCCTCTCAATTTTACTGTAGAAGATAGGAGATAGGTCCTTTAGGGAGGTAACTGAAGTTAAATGAAGTCATAAGGGTGGGGTAATAATCTGACAGGGACTGATGGTGTCCTTATAAGAAGAGGAATAGATTCCAGAGATCTCTCTCCCTCTGCTCATAGAGGAAAGGCCGTGTGAGGACACCGCAAGAAGACAGCCATCAGCAAGCCAGGAAGATTGTTCTCACCACAAACCAATTCTTATGGTATTCAATACCTTAACCTTGGACTTCCACCCTCTAGAACTGTGAGAAAATAAATTTCTTCTGTTTAAGTCATTCAGTTGATAGTGTTTCACTATAACAGCCCAACCAGACTAATACAGACCTTCATGTACACTGCAGTATACAGAAGCTAAACAGTGATTGTGAGCCAGAGATTACATCTTGAACAGAAGTGTAATGACGCTTGTGGTACTCACAACTTCACGAATTTTGTCAGAAAGATGTGAAAAAAAGTCAAACAGTTCTGATAGTGGATATTTTCTTTCTGTTTCTGACATAAAGCAGTGTCTGACAGCCTCCCTGATATCCATCGGTATCGCAGTTTTGATTCTGTGGCTCCAGTTCTACATGGCACCAAGGTGCTCTGTACTGTCCATTATTGGGTTTTTGGGAGATGTACCTATTGCCAACAAGTGGGTCAAACCACTGGGGCTCTTCTGAAGTCCTCCCTAAATTTAGACCCAGCTTCAGCTCCAAATCAGAGTTTTCAGAGAGCCCCGGGTGAGGCTCACTTGCCACAGTAGACACGTTGGCTAACGGGTTGCACTGCAGCACCCGCACGGACAAAGACAGCATCACGATGCCACCGTTCTTCTTCTGCAGGGGCGAACCGGTGGACCGTCAGCTTGGCCCCCAGCACAGTCACCTGCCTGTTCACTCTCTTGGCCCCTGTGAGGAAGGTGTTCAGCCCCGGCTTTGAGGTCAGAGTCATCTCCTCTCTGGGTTCGTGTGAATGGAGGAGCCGCAGCCCTGGTCTGGGTGGTGTCTTGGCCCTGGGTTTCCGGGTTTGGAGGCGTATCTTACCACCTAGACCCCCACCTAGGGCTCAAGGGTTCAGGGGCTGTGTACCGTGGGTTTTGGGGGCAGAAGATATTTAACCTGGCGTTTGAGGAAATTGAGGGAGAAGAGACTCAGGTTCAAGGGCTCCTGGTTTGAATTTCTCGCTTTAGGTTTGAGGGCCAGGGCAGTCTCTCACCAGAAGCTGCCGGATATCATCAGGAACATTCCGAGTGTTCTTGCACATACCCTGGGCAGCTGAGTTGGAGAAGATGACAGGTGCCTGTGACACTTCTAGGGCTCGCCGTGCCACAGCATCCGAGACATGGGACAAGTCCACCATCATGCCCAGGCGGTTCATTTCTGCCACCACCTTCTGCAGGGACAGGATGGGGAGAGGGCATCAGGGCTGCATTTACCTTGTGTGCATTTATCTGTAGGGAACAGGCGGGGTTGTACATTCATGTGGGGCAGGGTATGAAACCCGGGTCCTTACCTCGCCAAAGCATGTCAGCCGACTGACATTGCTGGAGAAGGGGTGGATACCCTTTGCTGAACTCTGCGTCCTGCAGGATGCCCAGGAGGCAGTCTGACTGGTGGCTGTGACTTGGCTACAAGAGCCTAGAAAGAGGTTCTGTCGAACTGTCTACACCTGCAACTACCTGGTGCAAGAGGAGGGACCCAAACTGGGCTGTGCCTGGCAGTAGCAGGGCCCTTCTGGGGATTCAGTCTTCTTCTGCAAACCTCCATTCCCCTCCCCACCCAGGTTCAGGGCCGGATCCCAGGGGTAAACTTGCTTTGGGCCCCAGCGTGATCTTGGGCAGATCCCTGCCTCACTGGGCCCTCACCATCTGCACTGTGTTTACCAGGGCACGTTGCAGGTGTGGGTGAGTGTCACGTAGTGCACACCCAGCGCATAGAAGGTACGCAAGATGGAGAGGCTACTGTCCAGTGAGTGGCCGTCCTCCACACCAATGAGGCAAGCCCACTTCCGGCTATTGTTGAGAGCTGAGGGCAGGTAGGTCAGATGATCATTTTCAGAGGCAGGGGAAGCTTACTGAAGTCCCTAACACCTACCACCACCAGTCTGTTTACCTTTTTTTGTTTGTTTTTTTGGCCGTGCCGCGCAGCATGAGGGCTCTAAGTTCCCCCACAAGGTATCAAACCCGAGCCCCCTGCAGTGGAAGCGTGGAGTCTTAACCTCTGGATTACCAGGGAAGTCCCCCTTCTACCTTTAACTGAGGTCACAAGCTCCAGCTCAGAATAGGAAGCACACATGAGGCGGATGAGGTGAATTTGCTCCAGGGTGAGGCGCACAGCATCCCGTTCGTGGGTCTGGCATGGGACGTAGGCTGACCAGAACTGAGGGAAGGCCAGGGCTTAGTTTGGGCTTTGGAACTCCTTGGGGCTCAGCTGGCACAGCACTCACTGTGCCCAGAAGTCACATGTAATGCGTTGCTTTCTCTGTGGTACTTGGATGCCCGTCAGGCTGGCTCACTGTGACCCCTGTAGCCCCCAGCATCCATGGCATGGCACTTTCTAGGTCACTGTGGTAACTTAGTTCCAATGTGACTAACCTGTGGTCTCTGAGGCCCCCAAAGGGCCCCACATTCCCCAGCAGCCATGGTGGCACCTTGTGTGTCCCTTTGGTACCTGGGCACCTCTGAGACCATCGTTCAGCCTGTCCAAGCTGGTCTGACCATGGCTGAAATTGCGCAGATTAACATCCTGTAGCCCACTGTGGTAAAACTGCCTCAGGACCAGGGGCATCTCGTTGTGGCTGGAGGGAGGTCAAGGCAAATGGGTGGGCTCCTTAGGTCTTGAGATCAGGCAGGACACATTGCCAGGCCTGGGCCAGCCTGGGTGTCCCCACCTCACACTGTCACACAGACTATGGAGCAGCTGCGGCCTGGGCTGAGGGGTTCCCACCAGGGAGGGGATGACAGAGAAGGGGAAGGGCATCTGTAGATGATGGACAGGACATCCAGCGGTGGTGTGAGGGAGCCTCCCCACTAGCTCTGCATGCTCCGGACCTCCTCCTCTGCCCAGGGCCAGGCTAGGCCCCCACCGGCCCCCAGCAGCCCGCACACACTGCAGCCACCCCTCCACAAGCGGGAAGTCCCGCATCAGGGCCCTCGTGCGCTCCCGCGGACTTGGGGTGCTGGAGGTGCCCGGTGTGGTCTGCACGGGTTAGCAGCCGCAGCAGCAGACCCAGCAGGAGCAGCAGACACAGCAGAGGCCGCTGACTGAGTGCGCGGGGACCTTCGAGGTCCCCGGGCCGCAAGCTGCGCAGGGCCAGGCAGGCGGGCAGAGGCGGGTCTGAGAGGGGCGGGCGATGGGGTTCTGCCCGTGGACTCAGGCCACCCAGCGGCGCGGCCTCGCGAGGGGGGCGGGGTGAAGGAGGGGATACAGCGTCACAGGACCCTGCGACCCGTGTGCGGAGAGCCGCGGTCCGCGAAGCCCGGCAGCCACAGGGAGGCACTGCCCTCCCGCCGCCTGCTCAGAGGCAGCTCCCGCGGGCTAACCTGGCCTCTGCTGAGAGCCCACTCGCCTCCCATCGCGGGTTCCCTCCGCCCCCGCCCCTCTTCCCACTCCCACTGCTCCGAGGGGGCGCCCTAGGTTGCTCTCCCCACCTCTAACCTTCCTGTCCAAGCTGGGGCCACCTTCAGCCTGAGGCCTCCCGGGAGCACACCTCGTCCCCATCTGCCTGCAGCCGGCCCCGCCCACCCCGAGGGCTGCGTGCGAGTGTCTCTGTGGCCACAAGTGCTCTGGGCTCCCGGTTTCCCGGTACTGGGCCATGGGGGCTGGTGTGGGGGAAGAGATAGTTTCTGGAAATGGGGTGGGGGGGGTAACGTTGTGAGCTCTGGATTCAGGAAGGGGCCCTCTGCCCCCGACCTTCTCTCTCCACCTACTTGACTCCCCAACCTGCATGACCATTCTCTGGGCACTTCAACCAGCACCTGGGAACTATCAGGAACCCCCCCCCACTTCTGTCACCCAGCCTCAGGAAAGAGCGCCCTCAGGAGTCACTACACCTCCCCAGGGCCTGAATAGAGGGACTTCTGGGATGTGAACTGAACAACCTTCTGGGGAGAGTCAGCGACCCTTTTACTCAACAGAGCAGGAAGTCAGTCAGCAGGCTATTTGAGTGGAAGGAAATGAAGTCGTTTCCATGGCAGCAGAGCCCCCACCGCAGCAACCTTCCTCCCAGAGCTGCTGGCTGACCTTCTGGCCAGGATCCCTTCTACCTCAGCATGGAAGGCCCGGCCTCGTGGAGAAGTATAGGTTCTGAGGAAGACCTGGCACCTGGGTTCTGCTGCTACACTTGCCTTATCTCGTGGCCCTTTTGGCTCTAGCTTTCCCAGAAACCTCAAGGGCTAAGTGCCTGCGCTTGCTCAGAGGCCGCACGCCATTCCCCATTTCCAGCCTCAGGCCCTCCCCCAGCTGCCTCCTCTAGGGACCCCCTCCCACCAGCGCGCGCGCGCGCGCGCGCGCGCACACACACACACACACACACACTGGGGATGTGCCTTCTCACAGAAGCTCAACCACTGAGATGCTTTAGGGGCTGTGCCCAAACTCCTTCATCCCCAGCCTCTCAAGTTTTGCTCTGATCCCTGGCACCCCCTGGAGCTGTTCCCCCTTTGGAACCTTTCCCGCATGGCAGGAGTGCCTAGCGCAGGGGTAGTGACCTAAGTCTGAGCACTGGCGACCCTAAAAATCTGTTACACAAAAACATTTTATTGAGCATTAAGGGACCCCACTGGGGACAGAAAGGGCTGGCAATAAGGGAGCATGTGAACCTCGGGGCAGGGTGCGTGCTGCTTGATTCTCCATCCTGTTCTTGTTTCAGGGAGCAGGTCTTCCTGGGTCTCTCTATCCTGCCTCCTGACACCCCAGGCAGGAGGCTCTTTGGGAAGCCACAGATTGCTGCTTTCCGTTTCAAAAATCCCAGCTCCCCCCTGGTTTGTGGTGGTGGCCGCTGACAAAGGCTCAGGGCAGGAGCACATGTGGTAGACTGCTAAGGCTTCTCTGCACCCTGTCTCTGCTCCTGCATCCTCCTTGGCTCGAAGAGTGTAGACTTTTCTTTCTTCAGCTCACAAAGGGGCCCCTGAGGACTGAGCAGAGGAACGGCAGGTTTTCTTCCAGGCCAGCTTTAGCCCTCGGATGTTCAGGGCAGACTCTCAAAACAAACCTCAGTTTCTGAGGCTCCTGGCTTATGGACATTTAGTGTAGAAGGAGGCTCCTGGCTGGGGAAGGCACAGACAAAATGACACAGGTTCTAATCTGTGGCAGTGGGCAGTTGGGGGGGGGGGCAGGGTCACTGCAGGAAGAGGCATTCGCTGGCTTAGGCAGTTAAACCGTCGCACTCTCTTCAGGATGGCTCACCTGCAAGATTCTGAGGGGTCCGCCTCCTGGCACCAAGCTACAATCACCGGACTGTGGGTCTGGAGAAACGCAGGTCGCAATCCAACCTTTTTGGAGCGTGCTTTCCCTTGGGAGCACGTCTGGCAACTGGCTTCTCTGCTTCCACATTTGCTGGCGTGGCCAAAGGTACATCTCCGTAGACCCGGTAACCACCAACCAGGCAGTATGTCTCCACATGCCGGCCCAACTGCTTTTCTCCACACCCTCGATAGAGGACATGGTAGAGACCAGGTGTAGGAGGAGAAACGGGAGCAACTGCTGCTGCAAAGAAAATCAGAACTGATCAGTCACTTCTGCTGTGCACAGTCTCCTGCCAGAACTTCCCTCTCTAAGGTCTCTCCCAGTTTCTAGCTAAAGACGTTTAATCTACTTGACGTCCAAAACACAGCCATGGCCCATCACCTCTATGAGTCCTTAAGGAGGGACACAGGCTGCAAAAGAGCCTACGGCTTCAGCAGATGAGGAAGTCTCTTCATCGTTTCCAGGGAAAACAGTAGAACCCGAAAGTAATTGCAATCATGATCCTCTCCATCTCTCCCTTCCACAACA